TTACCTGAGAGATTAGCTAATTCCACCCTGAGGAGGCTTAAATTAAAGGCAAAGGCAAAGAACAAAATGTGATGGATAAATTGGGGCTGGCCGAAAGAACAAAGTTCTAGGAAAAGTGAACAAACATGTAAAGGCCTTACAACAGCATATATGAAAAACATAAAGAGCTTCAGCATAGTTAAAACAAAACAAAACAAAAAACAATGAGCAAGCAGTTTGCCAGGCTGAAGTAGGAAACACTCAGATTTCAAAGGGCCTTGAATTTTGGAATGCATCCTAATGGTAATGACGAAAATTCCCAGAAATATCTGCAGCAGGTAGATGACATGGCAATATTTACTCTTTAAAAGTATCACTTTGAGGTCCTGTGAAGACAAACAAGGGTGAATTTTAAAATCTAGTAATGAGTTTATTATAAAATGCAAATGAGAAATGACTAATGTTGTCTTGGACTAAGATGCTGATGAGAGGACTGACTGAAGGAGGTCTAGAAGTCAAACCGCAGTCAAGAATTAGAAGCACTAGGACTTGGCTACTGCCAGCAATGGAGACTGAAAGGGCAGAAGTCAAGGAAACCTCTTAAATTTCTGATTTAGCAACAGGATGCAAGAGAGAAGGAGAAGAGTTGAGGGGGAAACGGACACACTGAGCTTGAGGAGTTCAAGAGATATCACACTGTCATGTATATTTTGAGGCATGGGAGTACATACCTGTAAATTAGAAACTTTAGATATAAGCCTGGTTGTTTTCAACACATAGCCATGGAAGTATCAAAAAACATACAAAACAAGAACATAGATTGGACCAGTGACAGGGCATTAAAAAGTCTAATATTTTAACCTTAGACTAGGGGCCTGATCATTTCAAATCTGATCTTATTATTTTAGCATTAAACTGAGATTTCCATGTGAAAAGCATTGGGATTATAGCAGGGCACTGATCAAAAAGCATTCATAAAATTGTGTATCTTCCCTGTAGCACACACATTCATACACCCACCACGCCTTATTAATCTCTTCTCAATTGTTTTAACATTTCAGATCCAAGTAAAACTCACCACATTGTACCTCAGAACTTCAGAGTATCTGTTATAACATCACCTTAAGAATACACAGTATAATCGTAAAAACAATTCTCTCAGGCTAAAAATGATTCTTTAGAGAAGGAACTTAACAAATTCTTTAACCTGAGGAGAAAGTATAGGTAAAGAGAAATAATTTTTCTGTGTATGAATATCCATAGTAATTTATTTTATCTAGACATAGAGAGCCAAACAATTAGGTGATTATAAGTGCAAAAATGAGTAATTTCAAAAAAGACAGCTTTGGTACTTTAGAACCCTAAAGTAACGTAACCAATAGAGGACACCTAGTGGTCTTCCACAGAATCAATATTTGCCTGACGAAAACATTAAATACACACACACTCATGATAATGATAGTTTCAGTAGGTGTGTTAATCTGAGAAGGATGACAGCATGAATCTTATATTTATAAACATAGGTATACATCAATTTAAATGTTTCAAATAATTTCCTTTGTATCTCATTTCATTTAAACTTTACAACTTTTCTGTTAAGTTTTAGGCATAAATAAGTCACTTTAAGTGTTTCTCCCTAGATTAAGTAGAAAATAAAAGACACAATTTTAATAACCACATATAAATACTAATTTCTAGTATAGGATCCAATTCATGCCACCATGTTTTTACAAGTCTCACATATATTTGTATCAATAATAATATAATTATATTTCTATTATACTAATATATTACTTATATAAAATATAATTGAAATTGAAATTATAAAGCATTATAAAATAGACTTCACATAGGCCTGTTTATATTTTATTATTTGATACAAACATTTCCAAGGCGAGAGTGCTTGGCAAGATAAACCTCCCTTTAGATATCTAAAAAAGCATCCTGCTTGACATGAGCTGTATATAAAAAATGCAAATGAGTAATAAATCTCTCTCCTGGCTGGTATCATTAGCTCCATCCTCCATGGTCTCCAGTCTTCCTCACTCTGATGAATTCTAAAATATAAATCCTCCACCTCAAATGCCTCAATGACACCTTGTTAAGTCCATCATGAGTACAGACTTCTGTCTACGCCTGTAAACTCACTCCCTTAAAACCCAGATTCTGGAGGTACACAGCTACTGTGCCAGGCTGCGTGTATGTCATGTCTTATCAGCGTGAATGCCTCTGCTACCATTTGATCAGCTTAGAAATCCAGATTCCAGCTTCGAAACTCATTCAAGTATCTCTGGAGAAGTCTTCTTGTGCAAAAAAAAATAAAAAATAAAAAATAAAAGCTGTGTGGTTCACTCCCTCCACACCATCTGTGATTATTTGTTCACACGTCTGTTTTTCCTGCAAAGCTGGAGTCTGCTTTGTATTCTCATTTGCAGTAACTGCAAATAGAAGCTACCCAGTAAAAGCTTAGGAGTGGAGAATGAATATTCCTTTGCAATTATGTGATGGATTTAAAACATGGAGGACGGCCACGTATTTAGTGGATAGGCATGCTCTGATAACCTACTGTATTTAGAACTCTGTAAGAGTGTGCAAGAAGGTGCAATGGCAAAAGCTGACCCTGACTCTTCCCTAGAGATGTTTATGTGTATCAAAGGAAAAGGAAAATGCATGTAAGTAAGCATTAGCAACCGAGCTATCAGCAAGGACAGATGCAAGCAGAGCCAGTGGAACTGTTCAAAGAAAGATACTGACCATTACAGCACAGCCAACCAACAAAGAATGTTTTCTGGAAAAGAGATTAAGCTTAAATTTTAAAGGAATAATAGATAAAGAAAGGTTTTCCAAATCTGAGGTGTGGCCCATGCAAAATTACAGAAGCAAAAAGAATCATTCTCTGTAAGACACGTTGTAAAACTAAGAAACAAACAGAAAAGAGTTGTTGGGTGCAAATAGGAAGCGACAACAGTGAGACGGAAATGGTTTGCTGGAGAGGCTTGAAGGCTCAGCAGAGAAACACAGATTTGATTTGACAGGTATAGGAGGCCTCTCTCCATCCTCATAGAAGGCAGGCTTAGGAAAACACTGGTGGAGGCTAACGGCATGTCTTAGAATTCTATGCACTTTCTAAAAAATGAAGTAGTTACAACATGTATTGTCTAATTATAGATAGGCAATTTATAGTAAGAGTTAGTTTCTAATCTAAACCCATTAGAATGTTAAAATTAACCAAAGACAGAAACTGCATTCTGCATTAGCTCCCTGTGGAAGAAATTTCCTTATTAATGCTCTGTTGTTAAAAACAATTTGTTTATATATCTGGCTCTAAGCCAACATAAAAATCAAATATTGATTGCTAGAAGAGCACTGCAATGTTCCAGACACATTATTCATCTGAAATTGCTATAGACATTTACGAGGATCAGAACCACAGGCCCTCTTTCTTGCCACAAAACGGGTTTAGTTAATTGTGATAGGTCTAAAATCTATATAAGGAAGGTTGAGGGGATAGTAAATGAGGAAAAAGGAAATATTATAGGCATGCATTCCAAAGCCATAGTCATTATACAAGCGTCAAGGATTTCCCCCACTTTTTAACATTGCCTGTAACATTGATTCCTATAAAGAGATAACTGGTACAGAGTAGCATTTCTATTTTCAATTATTATTTCCGAAATACCTAATAATTTCAAAGATCATCCCCCTTTTGATAAAATGACTGGGATTAGGAGCATTCAAGGTTCCTAGGACTCTTCACTTATACTAACTGAATAATCTGCCATTCACTAAACTCTTAATCTTCGCTTTATCTCTTCAGTGGCTGGTGATTATCAAAAATTGTTAATAACATTCCATTTAATTTCCAAGGGTTTCCTCACCATATGTCCATGTTAGAAGGATGACAGAGCATCGCTCCCCACCCTCCTCCTTAATAGGTTACAAAATAGCGCCGGCTTGGGTCACCACTGACTTTACTTGAAATACAACGATAACAACAATCGTTATAAAGAGAATGCTTTTTCAAGAAACAAAACATAAGAATGGGAAAGATTCACCTCAGTTTTCTGAAGAGTACAGGAAAAGGAATTTTCTGGCCTGATTTGCCTAAATAATTGCCCCAGATTTCCACCTCACCTGGCAATATATGTGCATAAAGTTTCCAGTATAGCATCCCAGAGCTCTATTTTTGCATCTTAAAGCCACTGATCTTACAACTGCCTCATGAAAACTCCTTTGCACCATGTGTTTCATAAATTAGTTGGCCAAATCAGCTCTTTCCTTCTATATTAGCCACAACATTCAACTTTAGTAACGATAGTAACATAAGGGCTAAATTTTAAAGTTTCTGTATCTCATTCACAATATTTCTCTAATTTATCTGGCTTTGGCACTTCTTGTTGTTTTTCAGTTGAACTAATTCAGACCAGGAAAAAAAAAATGTATCATTGAGGATGAAAGCAGTTTCCTATAGAAGGCAGCTGCCTTCCTTGGAAATGATTCATCTAGAACAGGAGCCGCTTCCAGACTTCACACATTACTTCCGCAAATGTGCTGAATTTAGCATTAGCCAGCTTGGTACTAAAACACTCAGAACTCGACAACATGTGGGTGCGTCGCATCTTCCTGTGCACTCTCATTCTACATGCTCACAGAGCAACTTCTCTGATGTGTTTGTTGTATTTCTACTTGTACACACATCCTTGTGGCATTTATAAACATCAGGTCGAGATTTACCGGTTTGGAACCATTCATGTTCCTTTGTGATTTTGGTTTGAATCATGTAGGTGATGAAATAATGAATTCATATTAAATTCTGGATTGATTATTACTGTTTCTTCCCTATTTAACAGGGTTACCCACAGACATTAAACATCCATGATACATGTGATATTAAGTGGGGGAATCATATCGAGAAAACATTCTTCACTTAAATGAGCTTATGATTCATTTATTATCAAGGTCATTCATTGAGAAGAATGATCTTGCCAACTCACAACCCTAGTTGGGATGTGTTTGGTTACCGAATGTCCGTAAGTGCACATTAAATTGCATTTTACAGCAATGGTGGCAGCGAGCCGGGGCTCTTGAATTCTTTTATGCCATCTTTCAAGCACCATCATGTTACACAGATCTAGGTGCCGTGACCACTGCCGGGAACCAGAGGACATCAGTTTTAAAGAGTGTCCTCTTCTATGTCCACATGGTCTGCCATTTTAGCTGATAGGATGCCATCTGTTCATCCTGCTGCCAGTCTCTAGGTTAATTGGGTTAAAATTACAAGACATTAAAATTGCCACATTGCTCACTGTATTTTTAATGGAATGGGCATTTATATCAGTGACTTTTTGCTTCACAGGCTAGTCATAAAAATTCTTTTGTGTGACCACGTTTTAAGAGGTAAATATTCAACTCTTATGATGCATGGACCACAGTTTTAGTTAAGAAAAGTGTCCAACAATTTATAATCAATACATAAAAGAATTGAATATTAAGGTATTTTCATTAAGAGAGTATATGTTATAGTGAGAAGCTATATAGTTTGGTTGTTAAGAGTGTTGTCTCTCAAGTCAAATTGCCATGGTTAGAATCCCAGCTCTACCTGCTACTAACTCAGAATCTGGGCAAGTTACGAGATTTATTAGGAAGATTCGATGAACTACTCCAAGTAAAGAATCAAATATATTACTTGACATATAATAATCCCTCAATAAACACTAGCCATTATTATCAATAATCATCTTGGTTTGATATTAATCTCAAATTGATATAACCAAAGATTCATTACATTTTAGATGGAATGTACTACATAGACACATTACAAGATGAATCCAATTTCTCAAATGTGCTTCATTTGATTTTAAATATAAGCCACATCCATATTTTCAGGATGACCCATTTTTAAGCCTTTTCAGCAGTGTTTTATGCAGTGTTTTATTACTGTATGTCAGTTCTTGACATCCTGCAAACCAAAATGTGATTGACAAGCACACACAAAACACTGCTACAGCCTTAAAGATAGCGGACCTAATGTTGACAGAAGTTCAGTTTTATGACTTGTTTAAACCTAAATTCCAAAACATAATCCATCCTAAAAATGCTAAACATAACTTCTGTAATGTGTAAAATGACAGTTCACCCATAGCAAGTATACTGTTTTCTTTAGTGCAAGTTTAGAAACTCTTGATGCCTTTTCAAAGACAATAAAATTCAGGTTATAATTAATTTAAAAATAAATGGTAGTCTTGGAAGGAAACTTAAGTCTAAAGGGTTAAGATGCAGACTCTGGAATTAGGACCGTAAACTCCTTTGCTTGGTGATGACACATTTAACTCTGATCTTTGGAAACTCCGGCTGGCTGAGCCCTCTTAGGTCCCCCCAACAGATGCCCTAGTCAGCAAAATACTGGCCAGATTCTCCATATTTATCCACTGCACTATTTGTGTTTTCTATGTAATAATTTCCCTCCTGGGTATGCTGTTTCTCAGTATCATAAAATGAATTAATAGGGAGAAACTATCACAAATAATTATATGCAAAGCATAACAAAGAGCAAATTAGTATGCTAAATTAGTTTTACATATACAACTTAGAAACACTCAAAAAAATCTGGTTTCTTCAAACACAAATTCTCTGAAATGAAACTATCAGATAAGGAACAATATGCCAGATTATCTCATAGAGCTAATGATACAAACTAGATTAGCAAATAGACCTGATACATCTTTATCAAAGATGGTACTTGATGTATTCATACTAGGTGAAAGTCAACAGCCCATGGTGGAGGAGGGCTTACATCAGTTAGGTCAACATTTTTTTTTAAAGTGGAATTGTCAGGGATAAAAAGGGCTGAAATAGTGTAAAACAATTGTTTTACAATCACTAACTTTTTCAGTTGATTCAAATCTAGTATTTGACCATATTTGACAAAAAAAATGTCATATGTACCAAAAAAATTTTTTAAATCCAAGTTTTCTCCTTGAATTCCATACAACTCATTATATATAACACAGTTCTTCATTTTAAAAATTATAGGTAACGGTATCATGATATAATGGCTTTAAAAAAGTAAAAGATATGTCTTACCTCTTCCCACTGGTGTATGTATCTAATTAACCTGGAGAGTCGTAATAAACGCAAGAGACTGAGAATTTTTGTAAACCTCACGATGCGAAGTGCCCTGGCTGTCTTGTAAACTTCCGAATCCATTCCTTTTTCTACAATGAGAAAGATATAATCCACTGGAATTGATGAGATGAAGTCCACCACAAACCAGCTTTTTAAATAATTCATCTTGATCACTTTAGGGTCCAGGATGATTTCAGAGCTGTCTTCATTGACAGTTCCAGTCCTGAAATTCATGATCAGGTCCAAAAGGAAAACCGTATCTGACGCCACATTGAAAATAATCCATGGTGTTGTTGTTTGTTCTGTAAAGAATGTGATTCCAACTGGTATGATGACCAGATTTCCAACCATCATTATAAGCATTATTAAATCCCAATAAAACCTAAAACAAATTAAAAAATATATATCAGATTTTAAGATACAGGCAATAATCAGACCATTTGCCCCCTCCTCCATAAAAATTATTACTGATTTACGGTTAAATAAAAGAGTGAAAGAACAATGTCTTGACTTTATAAATAAGGTAACTCCTTCACTGGCTACAAATTCAAATCTAAGTAAAATTAATATATTCCTAAAGCAAGGTATTGTGATGATAGGATTCTAAAATATGATTTATTTGGATTCTTTCAAAGTCTGTTGACTCTGTAGTTAACAGACTAGGTAACAGACTATTTGTACTTATGACAGTATATACTTATAAAAATGAAGATATAAATCAACTAATACAACTATAGTAAGAAAGTAATCTGGAAACACACAGGTTACTTCATCCTAGCCATGTGTGTCCTCTTTTGGCAGTTCTTTTGTATAAATAACATAAACTTTTATGACAGAAATTTCTGTTAACCAAGATATTTTTATTTTGCATCAATTCTCCTACTTAGACTATTTGGGCTACATTTTGGTAATGTGTACATTTGCATAAACCTTTCAAAGTTCCTATCATCCCTAATTATGAATGTATCCTGGGATAAAAGTAGTAATATTACAAAGAACTACAAAAGGCATTCTCTCCCCGTGTCTCCACCCACCCTCAGGATTACATAAAAGACAAATGTTTGCAATTTTGAAGATTTCACCAGTCTTTTTGTCAAAACTTATCTATACATTTATGGAGAAATATACAAATAGCCATGTCAACCATACATCATGCACTGGCAATTTCAATAAAATTGTTTCTTTTTTTTCCTCCTCTCTTAATGGAAATATGCAAAATGTGCCATTTAATATGCTAAAGAGAGAGGAGAGATGTAGAAGAGATGCAATATTGTAATAGTTATTTCACAAACAAGTGACATCATTGAGCTCTAAAATGAAATCGTGTGTGTCCTGAGGAATTACAATTTTCTGAATCCTCCTATCGGTCTCTTCTGTGGGCACCTCTCTCTGCCCTCCCCTTCAAGGCTGCCGTTCTCCCGAGTGTCACACATAGCTCTTTCATCTTCTGTTCCAGACATGCTCTTTGGGCAATATTATACACTCATCTATGTCTTTAATGATTAATTTGTAACTGATGACTCCAAAAGCTTTGGAGTCATCAGTTACAAATTAACTCCAGTCCATTCCTGTCTTTAAGCCTCCTAATTCTCAGAATCAGCAGCCTATTAAACCTTTCCCCTTGCATATCTCACTCTTGTCAAAGAACATGCCCAGATTCAAACTCATCATCTTGCATCCCATTTTTATTCCTCATACATTCCCTAAATCAGGGAATGGAACAACGCTATACAAGCCAGAAACCTTGGAGACATCCTAGATAACTCCTGGCCCTAAATCTACTCAGTCTCATAGGCAATCAATCACCAGGGCTGTTGGGGTCTAATACCTAAATACAAGTTGTATTCATCCATTTGCCATTCGTGATTCCCCCTGCAGCTCTCTTCTTACCACCTGTTTAATTTGGAGTCAAGTTACTTAAATTCTCTAATACTAAATATTTTCATCTGTAAAATGAAGACTGTTATAGAACCAAATGTGTAGGGATTTATACATTAAATGAAATAACATATGCAAATCACAGTTCCTAGCATATAACAAACTACAGACACCATGCTTGTGGCCTACTTAGTATTCCTTTACCTTTCCTCACTTACCAAAAGAAATCCATTTTTGTGAAAAGCACCCAAGAGCCCACTGAAAAAATACTTTTACAGAGATCTCTGTATTTTCATCATTAAGATAGAAACTATTTTTTCAGGGAAAAAAATAATATTCTGTCCATCTTAGTCAAAGCGATGAAAAGGATAAAGTGCCATCCATTCTTTGTTATTGGTTTATCACACCATAGCTTTGTATTATTGTTATTTACTATGGTCTGAAGCCATTAGATATATCAATATCAATATGAAGTTCATTAAACCTTATCATTTCCTTTTAAAGTATCATTGGTTCTATTTTATAGACATAAACACAGATCTTGTTTATAGACGTTGCAAAATAGAAAACTTTAGTTAACATACACGGAGATTCATTCCTTACCTAGCCAAGGAAAATACAGATGTCACTCACACCAGAAGTATGATGTAACTTCTGTTTTTTACACAATGCAGATGTTCCTAAAAACAGACTCCGTGAGATTCTCTTGCCTACCTGCCCGTAAGTTTCTCTTCTTGACTCTTTGCTGTGAAAATTTCTCTTGGACACCTGGGCTCAGCCTTTTCCTTAACTCTCAATTTAATTTTTGTTTACATTTTATTACAGAATTGCTTTTGTAGTCTGCTCCCTCCTTCTATTCCCATTGTTCTCTCTCTAGTCCAGCTGGAGTTACCTCTTGCTTATATCTCAAGAGTCTCCCGTCTACGTATCTGATCAATTCTACACACCAGTCCCGGAGCAACCTATCTAACATATTACTTGTCCAGACAAAAACCATCAGTGATTCTCCCCATTAAGTAAAAACAAGTCTCTTCTTCAATGCTTTACTGCAAGCTCCTCAGATCTCAAGCAAGAGAAGACTTGCTCTTACCTTGCCACATCCACCTAGGTACGCACACAGGAGATACAGGTACTTCCATTCTACCCACCCTTTTTCCTGTTGGCATTCCACCTATCCTTCAAGTCCATCCTAGCAATGAGCTTCTTAGTTTCTTTTTTACAACCCTCAGAACAACATATATTTTCAGTACGCTTCTTATTTTATTTCTGTTTTTGTTACTAATTATTTGACTGTTTCCTCCATCATTACGGGATTTAAGTTCATTGAAATTCAAAATTATATCTCGTCTTCTGTTTAACTTCTGCAGTAATGTAAACAATATCTAGACTAGCTAATGCTAAAGAAATAAGTTAATTGAATTTTTAATGGAAACATACACTTTAGTGGGGATATTTAAAGAAATCCTTTATAATAAGACAAAGAGTCATTAATGTAGTAAATAGTTTCTTAATTTATCTTTTATATAACATATTTGTACTCATTGAGGGTTTTTATGACATAGAATACATTAAAATAAATTAAATAGGAAATGAAGAGATTAAGAATATATTCTTAGGTTAGAATGCCTGCAAACAAAACAGTTCTGGATTTGACACCTGGTTTGGCATCTTCTTTTCTTACTACTCTAGAGACAGTATTTGTGAAAGATCTTAATTGGATTTTAAGACTAGGGTTCAAATCCTAGTTTCACTGGCTGTATGGTTTGGGGGAAGGTATTTAACTGCTGTAAACTTCACTTTTCTTCTACTACTTTCTCTGCAGGAGGACTGCATACAATGATGCATGCAAAGTGTAGCATACAGGAGCTACTGTATAGAACGTTTCCTTCTCTGTAAAACCAGCAAAGCAGAGAACACTCATTGGTAAAGGGATAGGTTTCACAATTACCATAGAGTAATAAGCAAGGTAATCATTTTTACTTTATTATACTGAAAGTGGATAAATGGACAAAATAAAATTGTATTTCACTTAAATTACTATATCACTATAACTATGATAATTATACTTACTACTAAAATAATTTTCATAGACAAATTACTTTTATGTTAAGAATTGATTTTCTCCCAGTTAAGTTTTTAGAAGAAAAAAAATGGCATTAGTCCATCATATTAAACTGTGAAGAATTCAAAATTTAGTCATGCTTCTTTCTTTCTACCCATTTGCATCCCTCTAAGGTTCGTGGTAATAAAGAAAAAT